GGTCATGCAGGTTTCTACCGGCGTTTCATTAAAGACTTCTCGAAGATCACTCGACCCCTTTGTGAACTTCTACAAAAAGAGGTAGACTTTGTCTTCAATGAGGTATGTAAGAGTTCATTTGATTTATTGAAAGATATGCTTACTTCTGCCCCTATCATCCGACCTCCAAATTGGCAATTGCCATTTGAGATTATGTGTGATGCTAGCAATCACGCCGTCGGAGCGGTATTGGGACAGAAAGACGGTAAGAGCTCTTATGTTATCTATTATGCATCACGATCACTTGATAGTGTACAATGCAACTACTCAACCACCGAGAAAGAGTTGCTAGTAGTTGTTTTTGCTTTAGAAAAGTTTAGATCTTATCTGTTTGGCACTAAAGTGATTGTCTTTTCAGATCATGCCGCATTGAAGTACCTGCTCAAGAAGAAAGACGCAAAGCCACAGCTAATAAGGTGGATTCTCTTACGCAAAGCCACAACGGAGCTGAGAATTTTGTTGCTGACCATCTTAGCCGGCTAGTATTGGATGGAGAGCCAAGCCCACTCACTGATGAGTTTTCAGATGAGCACCTTTTTTCCATTTCGGGTGAAACCCCATGGTATGCAGATATCGTTAATTATTTGGTTTCAAAGAGCTTCCCAGGTGAGCTATTTAGACCTGATAGAGAAAAGATTAGGAGAGAGGCTCGTCTCTACATGTGGGACGAGCTGTACCTTTGGAAACATTGTCCGGACCAAGTTATCCGACGATGTGTGCCCCATGGGGAGTTTCAGTCTGTTTTACAGTTTTGTCACTCCCATGCTTGTGGGGGCCACTTTGGCCATAAGCGGACATACGGGAAGGTACTTGAGTGTGGGTTGTATTGGCCGACCCTTATGCGAGATTGTTATTGCTTTTGTAAGAGTTGCATAAGATGCCAAATGATGGGAAACATTAGTTCCCGGAATCAAATGCCCCAATTTCCTATGCTAGTATGTCAAGTTTTTGATGTTTGGGGTATGGATTTCATGGGACCATTTCCCGCATCTTGTGGTAATCTTTACATTATTTTGGCCGTTGACTATGTATCAAAGTGGGTTGAGGCAAAGGCCACTCGAACTGATGATTCTCATGTAGTTGCAGATTTTGTCAAATCTCACATATTTTCTAGGTTCGGGACGCCTAAGGCCATCATCAGTGATCGAGGCACCCATTTTTGCAACAAGGTTATTGGCGCTCTTTTCAAGAAATATGGGGTTATCCACCGCATCTCCACCGCCTACCATCCACAGTCAAATGAACAAGCCGAGGTATCCAATAGAGAGATCAAGTCCATTTTGGAGAAGACTGTGAATCCCAACCGGAAAGACTGGAGCTTAAGGCTTAATGATGCTTTGTGGGCCTATCGTTCGGCCTACAAGACGCCTATAGGTATGTCTCCTTTCTGGTTGGTGTACGGTAAACCTTGCCACCTACCAGTGGAATTAGAGCATAAGGCGGATTAGGCGGTGAAGATGTGCAATATGGGTTTAGATGAAGCGGGATCGCATAGGAAGCTTCAAATTCAAGAGTTAGAGGAGATACGGAACGACACCTACGAAAATGCTTGCATCTATAAGGCGAGGACCAAGGCGTTTCATGACTCTCGTATTTCACGTAAGTCTTTCACTAAAGGTCAGAAAGTTCTCCTCTATCGTTCTAGATTAAAGTTATTTCCCGGTAATATAAGGTCCAGGTGGATAGGACCTTTTGTTGTTTTAACCGTTTTTTAGCATGGTGCAATGGAGATACAAAGTCTATCTACGGGGCAGATTTTCAAAGTTAACGGCCATAGGCTAAAGCCGTTCTATGAAGTCTTTGGAGAAGGGGATTTAGAGAGGGTAGCTTTGGACACACCAAGCTACAAGAATTGAACTGAGTATGGTCTATCCAAAGACATAAAAGAAAGGCGCTGCGTGGGAGGCAACCCACGAATTTCCATTTCTTGTTATTTATTGCTTTCAGTTAATTATTTTGTTTTTAGATTCTCTAGTTTCACTCTTGGATTTCTATGTTCTCAGGTTCACCCTGAATGTTGGACGCTTGAAGAGACGCGCCCATCTCCACGGATTCTTACATTGGGAGGTCACTCATCAAATCAGGGGAGTTTATGTTCCTTTTCCTTAATTGCTTAGAGTGTCCTCTACTTATTGCATACCTTGAGGACAATGTATGAATTAAGTGTGGGGGTGGGGGTTATTTGCATGAAATGGGTATATAAATGGTTTTAGGGGTCAAAATTTTTGCTTTTTGCAAATTTTGTGCTTAATTGAGGATCTTTGTCCGTTTTGACAATGTGTTAGCATGCTTTTATTGAGCTTAAATTGTTGATGATGATGAGTTTGGACGCATGTATAGCATGATTGAGCTTGATTGATAGCACTTAGAGTCTACTAGTGGTAGCATATTGGTCAAAGTAGACTATTGCTAATCTCTTGAACTAGTTTTGAACACCGTGAGACTTTGAGCTTATTTAGACTAAATACTTGATATTAGTCTCAAATTTATTTCTTGTGTGATTGCGTCATGCCTAGATATGCATCTCTAGAACTTGATTTTTCTCTTCTTAAGACTACATGATAACTAGATGCTAATAAACATGATAAAGGCCATTGTTTGCTCATTTTTGTGTTACAACCACTAGCCTTAAGCCTACCCCTTATGTTGTCATTATCCATTTTGCACACCACTTTGACCCTTAGCCTATTTCGTTTGTCACCCACATCATAAAACAATCCAAACACGATTCACCCGACTAAGCACCAATGGAGTGATCCCAATATCCCTTTATACTTGAAAGTAGAATTGTATGTTGGGGAAGGAAATAAAGAAAAAAAAAGAAAGAAAAAAAAAAGAAGAAAACAGAAAATTCAAAAGGAAAATATATATATATATATATATATATATATATGGGGGAGCGATCAAATGCAAACCACTCAATTTGTACAAACCGTGCAAA